GGTGTAGCTAGTAGCAGTGTTAGCTCATGCCAAAATAGATCCATTAGAGACTTGAAGGTTTCTGGGGTTTGCATTGTCAGCATGGGCTCTGTGGTTCACAGTGAATAGTATTTACTTAGCGAGATGAATACTGTTTGCTGTATGAATTATTAGGAGTCTTGGGCTTTAACAACAAAATTGTTTGCCTAAGTGATTAGAAATAATAGTATTTGAGTGATTTTTTTGGTCAAATGTAAAGTAGTAAACATAATCAAATTTTGAGACTTACTTGGATAAGGTTTTCTCATCAAATCTTTTTTTGATTGTATGCTATATTTTAAAATTTAAAAGTAAAAATCAGTTTACGCCAGAGGTATTTATTCTAGTATTCATTATGAGACTAAGTTTAGGACATTAAATTGTTTAGGGAGGTGATTTTATTGTATAAGTTATTTGAATTGTTTGCATACTTAATTGGAAATTTGGGTTAGTTTTAGGATATAATACATATTTTAAATGAGATAATTAGTTTCTGCCCTTTAACATATGGAGGTTATCTTATGTATTCAGTTGAGGCTGTCTTATGTATTAAGGAAAGGTATATGCACAGCTTAATTATTGAAGAAATGCTAGACTTTGGGAAATTCTGTTGTACTGGAAGCAAAGTATTGTCAACACTACACTAGTTTTTCCTGCTTAAGAATAAAGCTGGGAAAAGTTGCCTTCAGCTATTAGTTTTCCTGAATCCAAAGAGACGGGTGGGGCAGGATCAAAAATACTTACTTGATCAAAGTTATTGGCTCTGCAAGTATTCTTACCTATGTAAGAAAGATGAAAGGTGTTGTTTTTATTGCATGCTAGTAACAGTGTAATTTTGAACTAATTGGTGTTGAACTGCCAATCACCTAGGGGGAATGCAAATAGATACTCTTACAGTTTCCTTTGAGGTAGTGAAATCGTACGTGGAGCCTGGAAGAAAAACAGAATAATACCATTAAATTGACCTTAAATGAGCTGCTTTGTGGTTTTCTTGGAGAATCCCTTTTTATTTTCCGTGACTTGTCTGTACAGGTTTTGTCTACCAATTTGACTGATTGACTAGACAATGCTGACGCTGAAAGTTTTAGAGCCATTTTGAAATAAAGTAATGATAATACAGTTTTTCAGGATATTTCAATATTTTGGTGCAACTTAAATTCATTTTTAATATTCCACTGTGTGTTTGCAGTGTCATAGTTTCTCGCAATACCTGTTGTTTCCTTCTGATATTTTGTAGTGAAACATTCACCCCAGTTACGCTCGATTTTTTTATTATGCCAAATGAATCTAATTTTTTACTGAAGCATGACTTAAAGTCAGAATGTATCCTTGATTTTTATATGCAAATCAATCAATATTTGTTACTTATTATGTAGTGTTTTGTCTCTGAAAATAAAAGTACAGCATTTCAGAAATGCCACTTTAATTATTTTTCTTTGAAAATTCATACACTGGTCTAGACATGTGTATTGAGCTTTGTAGACATACCTACAAAGTAGACATTTATGTCTTTTCACTTAATTTCAAATTGTCTGTTCCACTATCTGTTCTCTTTGGAAATTCTGGGTACTCATCAGATTATTTTTTCTTGTCTTAAACTAGTTACTGGAATAATATTTCACTGCAAGTATAGGAAATGAAAGGTAGTGTGAGATTATATTTCCAAATAATGGGTTATAGAAATTAAGTGACAATTACAGATATACACCATATAATTTATAAAGAATTGGAATTAAAAGAAAAAATAGACTTATCACTAAGACTGTTAGAGAGTTTAAGCTTTGATTCAGAGACACTTGAAAAATCTCCTAATGCTGTGACATCTCATTGTAAATCTCGTCCTATGAAAATGCCCACTAATTCTGTAGCTTAACTACTTCCATCCTTGCCTTGGCTGCCAGAAACTCAAGACTGAATTTGTAGTCAAGGTTGGTAGGTTTGGGTCACACTGTCTGAGTATCTCTGAACTAACTTTACCTTCATTCTCTTATAAATATCCATTATATATTAGCAAGTAAAATGGATAAACTCATGAGCGCTGGAAATACTGTATAATATTTCAGTGTCTTTGAGACCTCAGGTTCTCCAAAGGAGAGTATTGAATTTCTCTCTCTTTAGTAAAGAAGAGAGAAAGGAGATACAGAGGGGATGGGATTCACTTCTGGAAACCTGGGTTGGGATGGGATTTACTTCTGGAAACCTGGGATAAGACTAGGGTCTTGTGATTCCCCAGGGGGCTTAGAAGAAGAGACATCTGAGTTCCTGTAATGACATCGTGTTTGTCCCCTTGCTGCCAGGATTTGTCTGATCCCGCTGGCCCTTGCTCTGTTGGCTGACTTCTCCTTTCAGTCTCTGAAAAAGGACCATCGTTTTGCTCCTGGAGAGATCCAGTGAGGCTTCTTCCTCCAGCAACAGTCTGTTTCTGACCAGTTGCTCTCTAAGTCCCAAGAACTGAAATTGCTGAACCTTCTGGCTGATTTGTGACTGTCTGAAGGACTGTCTGACTTAATCAGGTGTGATGGTAACAATAGCAACAGATAGAGGAAAATGACCGCTCGTTCAAGACTGAAGAAGACCAAGAGGACCATCTAGAGCAAGTAGTTCCAACTTGAGTTAAAAGTTCATGGAAGAGACAAATGACTTTATTCTTAACCCCCCAAAGTAATAACTTTCAAAGAGATGTAATTAGAACAAAGACTGCCTAGAATTTACGAGGGGAGGGGGACCCAGTTTATAATAAATAAAGAAAAGATGGAGACAGTTCTTGCAGTTGTCAGAATAATGGTCTGTGAAGATGCTCAAGTCCCAGTCCTCACATGGCAGATGGGCTTTGCTGGTGTGATTGGGGATTGCGAGATTGTCGCCGGTAGTTTCAGTGAAAGGATGTGGCAGAAGGACCAGAGAAAGAAATGAGATCTTGGAAGCCTGGTTTGCAATGATCTAAGTAAGGAACACTGCCTTCACTGCTGAATTCTTCCAAACATTTAAAGAACTCACTCCAGTTCTTCTCTTCAAAGGCAGAGGATCCTCCCAAACGCCTTCTGTGAATCCAGCATCATCTTAATTCCTAAACCTGAAAAAGATGTGAGAGAGAAACAGTATTATTGACCGATTTCCCTGATGAACATAGACACAAAAACCTTCATCAGAATGCTAGCCATTGAACCTAGCAACACATCAAAAGGACCATGAGGATTATTGTGAATGATCAAAAGTCTGATTCATGAGGAAGAACAACAGAAAAATTTAGGCAAATAAAAATTTGTAATGGAAAACTCTTGAAAACCAAAGGAATCTAATAAAAATATAGTTATAATGTGGATTTTATTTATTTCCTTCAGATTTTAACAGATGAAATCAAAAGAATGTGGAGCTAGTGTATACAGACCATTAGACAAACAAGCATGATGATATCTATATATGCATATATATATGAGTAGATATAAGAAAATATCGTCAGTCACATTGAGGAAAATGTATGTAAAGTAACAGGAAAAAAATTTTATACCCATCACTTTGACAAAAGTTCAAAGTGCTCACATTGAGTACTAGGGAAGATAATGAAAAGATATTGATGGAGGCTGGCATTATGGTGCAGTAGGTTAAGCCCAGCCTTTTGTCATGCCAGCATCCCATATTGGAGTGCCTGTTTGTGTCTCAGCTGCTCGGCTTCCTATCCAGCTCCCTGCTAATATACCTGGGAAGGCAGCAGAAGGTGGCCTAGGTATTTGGGCTCCTGCTACCCATGTGGGAGACCAGGATGGAGTTTCTGGCTCTTGATTTCATCCTGGCCAAGACTTCTGGGTTGTGGCCATTTGGGAAGTGAAGCAGCAGATGGAAGATGTCTGTCCGTCTCTCTCTTTTGCTTTTCCTTTCAAATAAAATAAATCTTCTTTTAAAAGCTACTAATAAATAATATTAATTATAATATCTTTGAGAAGTAACCTTTAAATATCTCTTAAAACTATAAGTGCTCACAGTCTTTGACTCAGCAATCTGAATTTTGGGAATCTTACAGAAAGAATAGTAGTGAGTGTTCATATAAGAAGGTTTATTTTTTGGTGCTGTAGTGACCTTAGTGACAAAATTTAAGGAAAATCTGAATATTGATGAGTGGCATAATTCTGAATAAAATTGTACTGTGTTAATACTATGGAATTATTGCTATTCAGCTGTTTTGGAGTTGGTACTATCTTCAACTTGAATGTCTTTTTGAGAAGGAAAACCAATAAGAAATCTGTCTGGGGACTGGTGGTGTGGTGCTGCAGGTTAAGCCACTAGTTGTGCTGGTGTCCCGTATCAGAGTGCCCGTGTGAGTTCTGGATGCTCTGCTTCTGATCCACCTTCCTGTTACTGTGCCTGCGTAGGCAATGAGTGATGCCTGAGTGCTTGGGGCCCTGACTCCCATGTGGGAGACAGAGGGACTTCTTGGCTTCTACCTAGCCCAGCCGAGGTTGTTGTGGCCATTTGGGGAGTGAACCTGTGGGTGGTAGGTCTCTCTCTGCCTTTCAAATAAGCAAATATTTTTTTAAGTGTCTGATTTTGCCCTAATCATATGAAATATATGATACAAGCCATATTTATGCTAGCTCTGTGTGTGTGAACGTGTTTACAAGTATGAACAAATGTATGGAAGCCACAGCCGTGCCGGTAATAATTGTCACGTTCGGGAGATGAGATGGAGAAGAGGAGGTCTTGATTGCTTTCACTTTCTACAATAAGCACATGATGCATTTTTAACTAAGAAAAGTTTTAGATCCAATAGGAATTTTCCAAGGTAAGAAAATTTCTAGGAAACATGCAGTGTTTAGATGTTTGAAATGGTAAAAGATGTGTAAGTACTTTTCTATGAATCACAGTAACATTTATTTTTATCCCTAATTACCAGGAATTTCAATGTGCTATTTTATATTTTAGATAAAGGGCTACCTGTTCTGTAGTACTAAGCTTCTCTTATGCTTCTGAATATTTTTACTTTGAAGGACTGTCTTCATCAGTGGAATACAACATAATGGAATTGGAACTGGAACTTGAAAATGTGAAGACTCTTAAGACCAAATTAGGTATTGTGTTTTTTTCATATGTATTGGGCATAATGCATTATTAAAGTCTTTATGAAAAATTAGAAAAAGTGAATTTTAGTTTATGCTGCAAACTGTCTAAAATCATTGATCAAGACTGTCTTTTAGGGAGAGGATAAGTACCTATCTCCATTTTTATGTTTGTTTTGTTAACATACAAAATACTTTTCAAAGATGTTGCTTCTCTGTGTTCTCACTTGCATCATTTTTGACAAGTAATCTGTCATACTTTCAGTATATCTTTTTTCCTTTATCTGCTTTGAGATGTCTTTTTTATCATTGAGTGTTGTTAAGATGTGCCTTATTGTTTTCTTCATGATTCTTGTTTTTGGGTTCATTGAGTCTCTTGGATCTATGAATTTATACTTTTTATTTGGGAAATTTTTGGACTTCTTAAAATATTTTTTTCTTTCCCACTTTGCAGGTACTCCAGTTACATTTGTTAGCCCATAGATCAGGAATATTTACTTTTTAGTCTTTTTTTTTCTTCTGTTTTCATTTCGGATGACTTCCTTTGCATGAGTTCACAGTCACTAATTTTTTTTTTGTACATCTAATTGGCCTTTAATCATCTAGTATATTTTTTCTCAGACACTGTATTTTTCATCTCTAGAAGTTCTGTTTGGGCCAGTTTTATGTCTTTCATATTTCTGATGAACATGTTCTATCTGTATCCTCTGCCTTTTTGAAACAATGCCATACACTTATGGCAATACTTTTAATGTTTGTGTCTGCTAATTCTAACATTGCATTATTGATGAGTTTCAATTGCTTGATGTTTCCCCTTATCATTGGTTACATTGTATTCTTTGCATGTGTGGCAATTTTTAAAAATTTCTATTAACATAAAGAGAACAGATTTAATGTAGTTCATAGACAGAATTCTAAGAAAATAATGATTCTTTAATTTTTGAAATAATATGCTTTTAATTTATATTATAGTCAAAGTCTTAATGCTCCAGTAAATAAAGAGTTAAACAAGTAAAAAACCAAAAAGACCACAGTTCAATAGGAATATAGGCAAGGGCTACAAACAATCAAATGAAAAGATGTCAATTTCACGCATACACACTAAATTTTAAAATAATCATAGATCACTGAAACTATAGTAGTGTATCATTCTTAACCATCGGTTTGACAAAAATACACAACAGAGTTTGACAAAACTGTATTTGCATCAATACTGATTAACCCAGACCTTTCTTTCTTCCTTTTAAAAGATTTTTCTTTTTTAGTTTTAGCTCCCACATATAAGGGAGAACATGCAGTATTTGTCTTTCTATGTCTGGCTTATGTCACTCAACGTGATGTCCTTTGTTTGCATACACCTTATGCAAATTTTAGAATTTCAGCCTTTTTATGGCTAAATAATATTGCACTTTATATGTGTGTGTGTGTGCGTGTGTACACTGAATTTTATTTTTCCATTCCATTCATCTGATGATGGATACCTTGGTTGATTACCCATATTGGCTATTGTGAACAGTGCTGCTGTAAACGTGGTGCTACAGTTCTCTCTTTGTTACAACATGTTCGTGTCTTTTTGTGTATATACCCATAGTGGGGTACTTGATCATGGTAGATCTGTTTCTAGTCTTTTAAGGAATCTCCACACAGTTTTCCACAGTGGCTACACTGGGTGTAAGAATTCCCCTTCTCCTTATCCTCCTCAGCATTTGTTATTTTCTGTCTTTTGGGTAATAGTCATTCTGACAAGAATTTGGTGATATCTCATTGTGGTTTTGATTTGCACTTCCCTGATGGCTTGGTGATGTTGAGCATTTTTTCATATATTTGTTGGTCATTTGTATTTCTTCTTTTGAGAACTGTCTGTTGAGATCCTTTGCCCGTTTTTTGATTGGTGGTTTTTCTGTTGTTGAGTTTTTTGAGCTGCTGATATATTCTGGCTATTAATCCTTTGTTGGGTAAGTAGCTTGCAGATATTTTTTTCCTATTCTGGTAGCTGAGCCTTTACTCTGTTGATTATTTCCTTTATGTGCAGAAGCTTCTGAATTTGATATAATACCATTTGTCTAGTTTTGCTTTTGTGTCCTGCGGTGTTTGTTCTACATTGTCTTCCAGTAACTTCATAGCCTCAGGTCTTTTTTTTTTTTTTTTTTTTTTTTTTTTTTTTTTGACAGGCAGAGTGGACAGTGAGAGAGACAGAGAGAAAGGTCTTCCTTTGCCGTTGGTTCACCCTCCAATGGCCGCCGCGGCTGGCGCGCCGCGGCTGGCACACCGCTCTGATCCGAAGGCAGGAGCCAGGTGCTTCTCCTGGTCTCCCATGGGGTGCAGGGCCCAAGCACTTGGGCCATCCTCCACTGCACTCCCTGGCCACAGCAGAGAGCTGACCTGGAAGAGGGGCAACCGGGACAGAATCCGGTGCCCTGACCGGGACTAGAACCCAGTGTACCAGCTCCGCAAGGCGGAGGATTAGCCTAGTGAGCTACGGCGCCGGCTCATAGCCTCAGGTCTTAAATGTAGGTCTTTGTTCCATGTTGAGTTAATTTTTGCATATGGTGAGAGGGCGTTTCATTCATATATGTATCTATATCTATATATATCTCCAGTTTTGCCAGCACCATTTATTGAAGAGATTCTCCTTCTCCATTGTATGGGCTGTGTACTTTTCGTCAAATATCAGTTGGCTGTATGTAAGTGGATTAATTCCTGGGCTCCCTATTCTGTTTCATTGATCTGTGTGTTGGTTTTTATGCCACTTCCATGTTATTTTAATTACTGTAGCTTTGGCGTATTCTTTGAAGTCAGGTACTATGATACCTCCAGCTTGGTTTTATTTATTTATTTATTTTTTGCTCAAGATTGCTTTGGTTGTTCTGGGTCTTTAGTGATATCATATAAATTTTAGAATTTTTTTTTCTAATTCTGTGAAGAATGTCATTGGTATTTTGATAGAGATTGTGTTGAATCTGCAGATTGCTTTAGGTTTTATAGACATTTTCATTATATTAATTCTTTCAGTCCATTAGCAAGGAAATCTTTCCATTTCTTTTTGTGCCCTTGATGATTTTTTCATTACTGTTTTATAATTTTCTTTTTTTTTTTAAGATTTATTTTATTTATTTGAAAGACAGAGCTACAGAGAGAGGTAGAGACAGAGGTCTTCCATCTGCTGGTTCATTCCCCAGATGGCTGCAACAGCCAGAACTGTGCTGATCTGAAGCCAGGAGCTTCTTCCTGATCTCCCATGCGGGTGCTGGCGCCCAAGGACTTGGGCCATCTTCAGCTGCCATCCCAGGCCATAGCAGAGAGCTGGATCGGAAGAGGAGCAGCTGGGATTAGAACCGGCGCCCATATGGGATGCCAGCGCTTCAGGCCGGGATGTTAACCCGTTGTGCCACAGCGCCGGCCCCTGTTTTATAATTTTCATTGTAGAGATCTTTTACTTCTTTGGTTAAATTTATGCCTAAATATTTAATTTTTTGGTGGCTATTAATGGGGATTTCTTTTTTGAGTTCTCTTTTGGCAAGTTCTTCATTAGGGTATAAAAAACTACTGATTTTTGTATGTTCATTTTGTAAATTGCAACTTAACTGGTTATCAGTTCTAACAACCGTTTGGTGCAGTACTTAAGTTTTTCCACGTATAACACCATATTATATGCAAACAGATATTTTGACTTCCTGTTTCTTCATTTTGATGCCCTTTGTTTTTCCTCTCCTAGTTGCTCTTGCTAATCCTTCCAGTCTTGTACTAAGAGTGCTGAAAGTGACGTTCTTGTCTTGTTCCAGACGTGAAGGGAAATGCTTTCTGCTTTTGACCATTTGATATGGTATTGGCTGTTGGTTTGTCATATATAGTCTTTATCATTTTGAGGTGTGCTCCTTTTATACCTAATTTGTTGAGTTTTTGTTTTTAATCATGAAAGGATGTCAAGTCTTACCAAATGTTTTCTCCACATCTGTTGAGATAACCAAATAGCTCTTGTTCTTCATTCTGTTGATGTGATTTGTGATGTTTATTGAATTGTGAATGTTGACGTACCCTTGCATCTCTGGGATAAAGCCATGCCCACTTGAACGTGATATATGATCTTTTTGTTGTATTGTTGGATTCAGTTTGCTGGTATTTTCTTGAAAATTTTTGCATCTATATTCATTAGGGATTTGGGTCTATCATTTTCTTTCCATGTATTGTCTTTGTTTGGTTTTGATATCAGAGTGATGTTGGCCTCATTGAAAGGGTGTAGCAGAGTTTCATCCTGGTCAGTACTTTGGAATAGTTTAAAAGGTAGTGGAGTTAGATCCTTTTTAAATGTTTTGTAAAATTCAATAGTTAAGCTAGCAGGTTCTGGACTTTTCCTTGAAGGGAGACTTTAATTACTGCATCAGTGTTATTGCTTGTTATAGATCTGTTTAGGATTTATACATCATCTTCTTTTAATCTTGTTAAGTTATATGTATCCGAGAATTCATTCATTTCTTTGAAGTCTCCTTTTTGTCCCCAGTTTTTAGCATATAGTTGTTTCCTATGACCCTTTGTATTTCAGTGGTGTCAGTTGTGTTGTCTCCGTTTTCATCTCTAATTCTATTTATTTGAGTTTTTTCACTTTTGTCTTTGTAAGTCTGGCTAGAGTTTACCTATCGTGTTTATTTTCTCAAAAAACCAGCTTTTTTTTGTGTTGATCTTTTTTTTAAAGTTTCAGTGTCATTTATTTCTGTTCTGATCTTCATTATTTCTCACCTCCCGCTAATTTTGCATTTGGTTTGTTCCTGTTTTTCTAAATGCTTGAGATGCACCATTAAATTTTTGATTGGATTTCAACAGTTTGCACCCCCATAGAAACACAAAGTGAAATATATTGTTTGAGTACTCGTTATAGCATTAAATCTCAATGTACAGCACATTAAGGACAGAGATCCTACATGAGGAGTAAGTGCACAGTGACTCCTGTTGTTGACTTTACCAATTGACACTCCTGCAAACTGTTGAAATCCTTACTTAATGCATACTAAACTGATCCTCTGTAAAAAAAAAAAAAAAAAAAAAAAAAAAAAAAAAAAAAAAAAAAAAACCACTTGACTCTTCACTGGGATTAAAACATGAACAATAGGGTCTGCTTCTGATATAGGTCTGCTCCTGATTTCATCATCATTTAAAAAATCATCTATTATTTTTCACTTTATGTTTCTGTGTGGGAGCAAACTGTTGAAATCCATACTTAATGTATACTAAGCTGATCTTCTGTATATTAAGATAATCGAAAATGAATCTTGATGTGAATGGAAGGGGAGAGGGAGTGGGAAAGGGGAGGGTTGTGGGTACGAGGGACTGTATGGGGGGAAAGCCATTGTAATCCATAAGTCGTACTTTGGAAATTTATATGCATTAAATAAAAGTTTAAAAAAAAATTTTTTTGATTGGAAACTAGACACTGTGAATTTTACCTAGTTGAGTACTGGTTTTTGTATTTGTGTAAGTGAGGAACTTTGTTCTGGGATGCAGTTAAGTTACTTGGACACAGTTTCATATCTTTGTGTCTTATTTGATAACCTGGTGAGCTTGATCGGAGCAGTATTATTCCTGTCCACTGAGGCAGGAGCCTTCACCAAAACTCTCTGATGCCCTGTGACTATAAAGTTTTATGTTGTCTTATGGGAGCAGGCACTTTTATTAGCTTTTTGTGTCTGCCACGTTTCCCTCTTATATTTTTGGGTGATTCTTTGTGTAGCCCTAGGATGTTTCCTCACATACCCGAGCAGATCATTACTCTACTGAATCTTTGAGGCTGAGCCTTTGCAGATCCTTGCAGTTCTTCCTCTGTGCTGATGCTTTGCTCTGCAGACTCCAGTAACTTAGTCTCCCCGCTCTCCCATTTCATGTCCTCCACTCAAAGAACGAGGGAGGCGTGGCTTGGGTTCCTTCTTCCTGCAACATCACCTGGAAACTCTCGAAACCGCAAAGCCGGATCTACAGGGCTCATGCTGTCTCCCATCTCAGATCTCATTGTCCTTCCACACCAGAGAGCCAGTGTCTTCTGGAAAATCGTTGCTTCAGGCTGGATGGTAAATCTGGTCCCTGGTTTTGCTCCATCTTCAAAAGGGAATTCCAGTATCATGTTTTTGAAAGCCATATGTGGGGCCGACACCCGGCTCAATAGGCTAATCCTCCGCCTTGTGGCGCCGGCACACCGGGTTCTAGTCCTGGTCGGGGCTCCAGATTCTGTCCCGGTTGCCCCTCTTCCAGGCCAGCTCTCTGCTGTGGCCAGGGAGTGCAGTGGAGGATGGCCCAAGTGCTTGGGCCCTGCACCCCATGGGAGACCAGGAGAAGCACCTGGCTCCTGCCTTCAGATCAGCGTGGTGCGCCGGCTGCGGCGGCTATTGGAGGGTGAACCAACAGCAAAAGGAAGACCTTTCTCTCTGTCTCTCTCTCTCACTGTCCACTCTGCCTGTCAAACAACAACAACAAAAAAAGCCATATATATTCATTCATTTTCTTTTCTAAGTAACAATATATTGTCTGAAGTTACTTTAGTCATCCTCTTCTAGTTGTTTGCTATTATGAATAATGTTGCTGTAACTGTTCTTGTACATATCTTATGTACAGTTATATATATGTGTGTGTGTATGTTTTCTCAGGGTACGTACTGGAGGTGGAGTTGTAGGATCATTGTTTGTAATCATGTACAACTATTGTAGATGATGACAAACCGTTCTCCCAAGTTACTGTACTATTTTTATGAGTCTGGTAGGCTTGAGTAGGATTCCCTGATGTTCTACATCCTTGCTTACACCTAGTAGTGATGGACTTTTAATTTTTTACCAGTTCGGTGGTCATGAAATGGTGCTTTATTGATGTTTTGGTCTGTATATTCTTGACTTGCGTTTTCATATTTATATTCACAGAATGCATTTAGCTTCTGCTTGAAAAAACGCCCATTCAGATTTCATTAGTATAGGTTTATTGACAATAAATTTAGTTTTTGTTTCTTTTGAAAACATACTTACTTTGCCTTCTCATTTGTAGGGCATTTTTAAGAAGAATTTAGAAGTATTCAGATTATAGAATGTCATTCCAACATGTTCTGGTTTCTGGTTAAAAGCCATATTGTTGTTCTTTTGCCGGGCTTTACAGATTTTCTTTTTGTCTTTGTTTAGCAGTTTTGTAAAGTCCTTAGATTTGGTTTTCTTTGCATGTATCCTTCTTGAGTTCTGTCAGCTCGTGACTCTGTGGCTAGATGTCTTTCACCCATTTGGGAAAATTGTTGGCTGTTACCAACTACCGTGTCTGCCGCCTCCTGCTCAGACCCCAGTTGCTCACATGCCAGACCTTTTCCCTCAGGTTCTTTTCTGTGCTTCCCGCCTTGGTTTCCGCGCTCTGGTCGTTGAGATCTTCCACTGGTCTACCTTCCATTCCAGCGTCTTTTTACCTGTGTCATAAATACTGTGGAAATTACCTGTTGAATTTTTAGTTTCACTTATACTTTTCAGTTCTACAGTTTCCATTTCATTATTTTTAAAAAGATTTATTTATTTATGTTTTTACCTAGAAACCTTTTTATTTAAGGTATACAAACCTCATGCATTTCATACATACAAACTTAGGAACATATGTTCCATCTGTACCCCTTCCCTTCTTCCTCCTCCCTCTGCTATTCCCATTCTTATTTTTTACTAAGAGCTATTTTCAATTACCTTTATACACATAAGATTATAAATTCAAATGTACTTGTGAAATTTGCCATCTTGTCATTCATTTTACTGAACTTGTTAATCCTTTGTTTTAGGGCTCTATTATGATATGTGAATCAACCGTGGATCTGTTTGGAGTGCCTTTTTCCCCCTCTTTGTCTTGTCTCCTGGTCATGTTTGGTTGAGGGCCCAGATGTTTCTTATAGAAAATTGTAAAAAGGTGATATCTTCTTCTTTCTGAGAGGATTTGCTTTTTGTTTTTCTGGTAAACAGAAGAGGGACCTGCACCTGTGCTTAAGCCTATTCAGGGCTGGGTTTTGGTCTTTATAAGGGCTGCTCTGTTTCCATTTTGGTATTAATTCTAGGCTATAGCTTTTCTTGGGTCTTAATTAAAAGCCTAGTTGTTCTGCTTTTGACTATGATCCCACCTTCTCAGTAAATTCTAGTTTTGACTTCTGAAGGACCATGAGCCTGACAGAAACTTTGCTGGACTTCTCTGCTTCTTGGCTGCGTCTTTCTGTCCATCTCAGCCTCCCGGCCTCTGGAGCTTGAATGGAGGAAGTGGTGCTGTATACCAGGCGCACTTCCTGGCACTTGCCTTTGCTCTACAGCGATACCGCTCAAACTCTGGCTGCCTCGGTAGCCCCAAACGCCAGTGTTGGCCTCCTTGGCTCTGTTGAGCTTGCTCAGTTTTCCTTCAGCTTTGTTGCCTTTTGCTCACTGATTTCTGCTTGATTTCTCCGTGTCCTGGGTCCATGCCAACTATGTATTAGAAAACGCCTTGCAGGGAAAGTGTGTATTGGAGCATTTACCTCCCTTCGTTTCAAAGCATATGGGCCCCTCAATTTTTGTTGTCTTGGTAGCTCTCTGATATCTTCATGTAGATTTGTTAAAAGGATGTTTGATCTTTCTCTTCTAGTTGTTCTTGGCATGAGGACTGGGATGCTATAAGGCAGTCTGTTGTAACTAGAAATGAATTTGCTTCCAGCCCTTGAGGGTCTGAGATTAGAGGGGAATTTTCACTCATGTTACTTTATTCATTCACATATATATCTGAATCAATATTTACAGCAGTACCAAATAAAAATATATCCATATTTTCAGTGTAAGCTGCATATTAACAATGTGTGTCGTTAAAAATGGAAATGTGTTTACAGAGCTGAAAGTTAAATGTCACAGGAGTAAGCTGTTTAATTAACAGATTGATTTTAAAACTTGGTTTTATAGTTTGCGGAAGAAAATTAAAAATTATCTTTGTTAAAATTATGTAAAAATAATACATACTGATTATAGCATTTTGGAATGAAAATTTGAATTGGAGAACACTTTTGTAAATTACTGAAATATTTTACTTTGTTTCCCCTAATAGAGAGGCGAAAAAAGGCTTCCGCATGGGAAAGAAATTTGGTGTATCCTGCTGTTATGGTTCTCCTTCTCATTGAGACAGTAAGAATTTACTTATCTAGTTAAATAAAGCAAATTACCCTTTATTTACTTTAGTATTTAACATGACAACTCCCTCAGCTAGTTGGTTTCACGTAAACTGCTTTTCTATCAACACAATTAAAATTCATCTTTGCCTTTGTAAAAACTCAATAGAACAAAAATGGACATTTATAATGATTATTAAGGTCTTCAAGATTATCTGTTTCCTCCTGAAGTTAGGAAATGTAGTCTTATGTTTCATGACAATTTAAGAAAACAACAAGGTGTTAAGATACCTTGCTTCAAATTCTGAGCTAGGATATGAAAATTACTTTATGAAATTAGTACTGATAACATTTTACCACTTTTGAAGTCTGTAGACTGTGAATTTTCAGTTGGTGAGATCATGAACTTATATTATTAGCTTTTATCACAAGCTTTGATCTTGTAATAGTTTACAAAATTTTTTAGAGTTTATTCTGCAGATTGTGTACAACAGTACTTCAAAAATTCATGGAAAAATTCAATTAAAAGATAAAATTATTTTGGTGCCAAACTTTTATAGATTTTTTTCATAGTACTAGTTTTGCACAAACTTTTTGGAAGATCCCCCATATATATTCTGGTTATTTAGAATTTTGGTCTTGACTGTGCTCCGTGCCTTCTGAAACACGCATCTGGTGACTTGGATTTCAATATGAGATCTCTGAGGTTGAGACTGAGGGCTCCTTTTGTGTTTTAGTCCATCTCGGTCCTCTTGGTGGCCTGCAACATTCTTTGCCTACTGGTGGATGAAACAGCAATGCCGAAGGGAACACGGGTAAAGTAAAACGCCTTTCTTTTTCAAAAGTGTTCTGCACAGGTGCCCTGAGTGTTGCAAGTAAGTCAGTGAGAGCATGCACCTTCTGAATACATAGAACTTTAAATTCTGTGAGTTTCTTTATATAAAGAACTTTCGTGAACAGCGTTTATAAACCGTGATTTTTGTTTCTAATATTTTTACTTTGAATTGGCAGAGCCTCTTAGACTTCATATAAAGAAGTCTTTCCTTTTAGACTTCATATAAGATTTATCGTGAGTTCATTGAAATTTGTATTTGTCATTCCTTAAGGAAGTACATACTCTAAAATAGTGAAATGTAAAGAGTATAGTATATAGATTAATCTGATTTGTAAAAGACCCAAATAGCTATAAGGATTCATGCTTCAGAAAACCACACATCTTATCTAACTGCATCAAGATGTACATATACTAGAAAAGAGTCAGATGTATTCCTTTTTATGAATTAATTTTTCTCTTTAAAAACTGATGATTTTATTAAAATATCAGCCTATTTGAATATATTCTTCATACAAAAGATAGTTATCTCTAAATATTCACATTTGGCATACTATTTCTAGGTGTCACTGTCAAGTTTGGGGTTCTTAAGGTGCACTTAAACTTTGAGATTTTGGGGACAGGCACTTAGCGTAGCAAAGACAGGGAGAGGATCCTCACATTTCATGGCGGAGTGCTCGGGTTTCATACTGAGCTCTGGTTCCAGCCTCCAGCTTCCAGCTAACTCAGATCCTGGAGAGCAGCAGCGTGACTTTTGTAATTGGAATCACGCCACTCTTGTGGGATACCTGAATTGAGTTCCTGATTCCTAGCTTTGCCTTGGCCCAGTCCCAGCTGTTGTGGGCATTTGGGAAGTAAACCAGTGGAATTCAGCACTGGCTCCCCTCTGTCTGTGAAACTTTTAAAAAAATTTCTTTTGACATTTTCTTGTATTTTTCCTAAGTCAGCAGCTTTTCTATTTCTCATAGCAATGACTAAAACTCTTCACTTATTTCTTACAGAATCAGCTGATCTCTCTATCTCTCATAGAAGAATCGGGAGGGGACATTTGGCCTAGTGGTTAAGATGCCCATGTCCCGTATTAGAGTGCTTAGGTGTGGGTCCTGGCTCCGCTCCCAATTCCAGCTTCCTGTTTGTAGGCATCCTAGGAGGTGGTGGTTGATGCCTCAGGTCACTGGGACTCTGTCACCCCCCTGGAAAATCCTCAGCTCCTGCTATGGCTGGCCCAGCCCCAGCTTTTAGGAAGGGAGCTCTCTCTCTTTTTTTCTCCCTCTGTTTCTCTGCCTCTCAAATTAATACTTTTTTTTTTTTTTTTTTAAAGTCCATCCTAATTCCATCCTTTTGGTCTGAGATAGACAGTTTGTTCCTTCAAAAGTAAATTTCTTTCTTCTTCCTTTTTCTTATTTTGTTTTCGACAGGCAGAGTTAGACAGTGAGAGAGACAGAGAGAAAGGTCTTCCTTCCATTGGTTCCTCCCCCAAATGACCACTACGGCCATTGCACTGTGCCAATCGAAAGCCAGGAGCCAGGTGCTTCCTCCTGGTCTCCCATGCGGGTGCAGGGCCCAAGCACTTGAGCCATCCTCCACTGCCTTCCTGGGCCATAGCAGAGAGCTGGACTAGAAGAGGAGCAACCGGGACAGAATCTGGTGCCCCAACCGGGACTAGAACCCGGGGTGCCAGCGCCGCAGGCGGAGGATTAGCATAGTGAGCCACAGCGCCGACCTTTAGTCATTTTCTTGATTTAGATCCCCTAACCTTTCCGAGACCCTGTGCCATCATCTCGTGTAGTTATAGCCTCTTCTTCACAAGTGTAAGTCGCCACTTCCTAGAAGCAGCAGCAATAAACAAGCCCTGTCGTCGTTGTTTGTACTCAAACCCACTTGATAGCACAGGAAGTCACTTACTGCATAAACTTCCTATTAGCTTTAAACCCGTTTTAATATGTCAGCGAAACAAGGTAAGTCCCAAGCCGTTGGATGAATTTTTGTACCGTCTGCCTGAGTGCATAGTAGCGTATCTGCACCTTGTAGCGGCTCCCTGTATGGTTGTGCAGATAAGTCAGATCCTCTTAACCCTGCCTGTAGTTTTCTCTTGAGACAGGGAATATTTCCAGTTATTTTCCATCTCAGCCAATAGCTTTTGCAGGGGGAGAAAAGTATTTTCTTTTCTTTGCCCCTCATGAGGTTCATGGTTGAAGCCCTATAACAAAAGACAGATTAATGAGAGAAAAGCAGATAAATTTATTTAGTGTAACTTTTACATGGCAGAAGAAATAGGGAAGCCAATTTATTTTTATGCTGGATTAGATGACAAGTAGACAGTGGTTAGAAAATCTGATTGGCTAAAGAAGGTGTGACTAATGGCTATAAACCAAGATTCTGTCCTGTGTCCCTGTGCTTCCAGAGACGGATGCTCCTTTCCCTGGGTATAAGGAGGGCATCTCTCCAGTGAAAGTCTTTTTTTTTTTTTTTTAAGATTTATTTATTTATTTGAAAGAGTTATACAGAGAGAGAGAGAGAGAGAGAGAGAGAGGTCTTCCATCCGATGGTTCACTCCCCAGATGGCTGCAATGGCCGGAGCTGTGCCAATCCGAAGCCAGGAGCCAGGAGCTGCTTCTGAGTCACCCTCAGTGCAGGGGCCCGAGGACTTGGGCCATCTTCTGCTGCTTTCCTAGACCACAGCAGAGAGCTGGATTGGAAGTGGAGCAGCCGGGTCTCGAACCGGCGCCCATATAGGATGCTGGTGCTGCAGGCCAGGGCGTTAACCCACTGCTGTGCCACAGCACCGGCCCTATAAGTATTTTTTTTAAGATGTATTTATTTTTATTTGAAAGTCGGAATTACAGAGACGATGAGGGGGGAAGCGGTGGGGAGAAAGAGAGAGATATTTTTTTCTATCTTCTGGTTCCCTCCCCAAATGGCTGTAACAGCCAGGGCTGGGCCAGGACAAAACCAGGAGTCAAGAGCTTCATCAAAGTCTCCCACGTGGGTGCAGGGGCCCAAGCACTTGGGCCGTCTTTCACTGCTTTCCCAGGCACATTAGCAGGGATGTGGATTGGGAGTGGAGCAGCTGGGACTCAAGCCAGTGTCCACACGGAACGGCTGAGCTGCACACAGCGGCTTAACCTGCTATGCCACAGCGTTGGTCCTTCCAGTGAAATTCTTATGGCCTGTTTCAGAAGAGAATATCAGATCAGAGTGACCTTCCTGGGTTTTATCAAATAGCAAGCTACCATATTTTGGGATAGCTTGTCCTGAACCTTGTCACTTACTCATTTTTGTTTTCATTTGGCTGACAAAAAGATAAATTTCTTACTTTTACTTCATTCATATATGAAATTTCCATGGTTATTCTTAATTTTATAGAATATATATAAAATGTATATGATTATTTTTTATGCTGACTCTATATTCTTTTTTAAAAAACATTAATTTATTTGAAAGGCAGAGTTACAGTGAGGTAGAGGCAAGAGAGAAAGGTCGTCCATTCGTTGGTTCACTCCACAGATGGCTGTTAACAGCCAGAGCTGGGCCGATCCGAAGCCAGGAGCCAGGAGCGTCTTCCAGATCTCCCACATGGGTGCGGGGGCCCAAGGAGTTGGACCATGTTTTGCTGCTTTCCCAGGCCATAGCAGAGAGATGGATAGGAAGTGGAATAGCTGGTACTCAAACTGGCACCCGTATGGGATGCTGGCACTGCCCTCTGTGCCACAGCGCTGGCCCCTGAGTGTATATTCTTAATTACCTCTTGTGTTTCTGTTACACATTAATTAAAAAGTGACCGTAAAATAGGTATTCAGGGTGAGCCAGCACATCCCATATCGTGGTGTGTGGGATTGAGTGCTGCCTCTGCAAATACCCACAGCAGGGGCCAGCACTGTGGCATAGCAGGTGAAGCTGCTGCCTCTGAGGCCTGCATTCCATATGGTGCCCGTTCTTATGTTGTCCTGGCTCTTCCACTTCCGATCCTGCTCCCTGCTATTGCTCCTGGGAAAGCAGTGGAGGATGGCCCACGTCCTTGGGTCCTTGATCCACGTAGGAGACCCAGAGGAAGCTCCTGACTCCTGACTTTGCTCCAGCCCAGCCCTGGCTGTTTCCATCATTTGTGGAGTGAAGCAATGTATGGAAGAGCACCCCCCCCTGCCACCCCACCTCTGTCTCCCTCTCTCTAACTGTGCCTTTCAGATAAGTAAATTAAAAAAGATGCCCCCAGCAGCCACTGAACACCATCCTGGTCTCCCACATGGGTGGTAGGAACACAAGTGTTTGGGTCATCAGCTGCTGCTTTCCAGGTGCATTAGCAGGAGGCTGTATTAGAAGTATGGAATAGCTGAGGCTCTGTCACAAAACTCCAGCATGGGGTGCGGAGGTCCCCAGGTGGTGACTGTACTTAGCTCAATTTTGACACATTTTAGTTCTGTGATTTTTATATATTGCCTCAGCATTCAGTTAGTTGCACATTCTGTTTCTATTGTACTATTCTGTTTTTTTAAAAAAATTTCCTAATAATTTTCAAGATTTTTTTCCTTAGGTAGCAGATTGTCCCATTTTATACCAGGAAACAACCATATCATGTTGGCAAATAATTTGAATTACATTTGAGATAAATCAGATTTTTTAAAATTGTTAATGTGGTAGCTGATATCATTGATGCAATGTCTTTTATAATTTTTTTGTTAGCTGTGGAAAGTTTAGATGTTACTTCAAGGTATTACACATTCCTAATTTCAACTGTCTTATATTATGAAACAACAATTTTAGAAAACTGAACTCTAAAGGTGTTTTTTAATCCCCCCAGGGTCCTGGAATAGGAAGTGCCTCTCTTTCTACTTTTGGTTTTGTGGGCGCTGCACTTGAAATCATTTTGATTTTGTATCCTTTAACTAGTTTTTTTGGGACGCTGGTAATTTGCTACATTTGTCTAGAAGAGAAAACAACAGGTCAGTCTTCCTCCAGCACTCAGAGTGGCTTTTTGCTCTGTTTTTCCTGGGGGCCTTCAAGCCTTGTTGGAGACTGCTGAGAACTTAGGGCGACTTGCAGTCTCTGAGAGTTCTTTCTCCTTGATTCTCACAGCTATCTTATGGTGTCCTCCGTCGTTGGGTTCTATAGCCTCCGATTTTTCGGAAACTTTACTCCTAAGAAGGATGACACCACCATGACAAAGGTGAGGCCACGTCTTAGGTGCCTGTGGCTTCTCGCTTGCCTTCCTAGGGGAATCAGCTGTTTGGTTTCGTCATCGCCCTGAGAGCTTCCTGTGCTCTGATACGTAGTTGTTTGTGAGCTGCGCACACGTAAGCTGGAAGATTCCCAGGCTGCTGAGTGAGTGGGGAAAGGATGTGCCCTGTGTCACCTGGATGGCGGCCACTCACTTGTGAAGGCGCAGGATCGCAGAGCTTGCTCAGCAACTGGAGAAGAGAACGTGCTGCTGATGAGTAACTTTGTGCTGACTGTACGCGGGGACTGGTTTGAAATCTAAAGAACTTAGTTGCAACAAGTAGTAGCGACCAAGTGTTTCGAATCTGAATAATTAAAGTAAGAAGGAAGAGTTTTATTCAGAAACACTTTGTAGTCGGAGAACAATTTGACTTTCTACAATATTTCATTGGCTGTGGAATAATGAAGACTGTTATCTTTATACTAACTACAGTTTTGTAAAATAATCTCACACACTGACCAGGAAGAATAGTAGGAGCTACTGGCTTGTTTCTTTTCATTTTATAGTCTGTAGTTTTAGTCTGTTTAAACGGGAGAAGTTATTTTATATATATACATATAGGTAAAACTTTTTAAAATTCAATAAGTAATTAACAAATCTAGTGTCTAGTGTAAGTGTTCATAAGTATTAAACAACGATTTTCAGCTCTCATTGAATATGAAAGAATAAGTAGATTACACCTTGAAACTGAATTACCAGAGTTTATATGTTTTAGATTTCTGGTATTTTAAAAATTAAATATTGTTATAGGCAAACATAAATTAGAAGTAGATAGTGCATAAGACATTTTGAGCAATAATCTGGCATTAGAAATATGGAGGAAAGCATTAAAAGTGTTTATTCTCTCCTACTTGAAGGCAAACATTTTTGAAATCGCCAACCACAATCAGTAATGTAAAATATATCGTCTAGGCATAAAGTACTTTAAGTGTTCTACAGCTTTGTGTTTGTGCTAGGTTCTGCAGATACCTTTTCAGACCTACAGATATAACTTTAAATATGTTATTTAACACTTATTACTCCCTTAACATTTTATATTGAATATTAAGTATCATGAAGAAGTTGACCAAGTGCAATAGGTAGCTAGAAAATGCAATAAATTCCCAAAATGTTACTGGATTTTATCATCATCCTATTATTTGTCTGATATTCTTTATGGTTTCCCACCACAGATCATTGGAAATTGTGTATCAATTTTGGTCCTGAGCTCTGCTCTGCCTGTGATGTCAAGAACTCTGGGTAAGTTAGACTGAGAAATTTTCATTTAAATTCCATATTTTTGTATAGTATCTTCACTGATCTTTAATTTTTACTTTCTAAACTTTCAGAAAGATCACCTTTGAACTGTCTTCCCACATCATTTTATATCTTTTTTTCTATGCTTCATTTGTGTATACGGCCATACCAAGACAAGAACTTTTATCAAATAAAGACCATTTATTTTTAAACACTTAAAAACATTCCTGCTCCAAACAATAGACTGCTTTTTATTCACTGACCCATTCAGAAGTTAGGCTTTTGAGTCCTGGAAAGAGCAAAAAAGAGAAAGAAAAAAAAAAAAAAACACGAAAGTTTAACGACTAGAAAATTTTAAACTAATTTTCTTATATGAAGTGTTTTTTAATAATTTATAATTTAGTTTATGTTTTAAGAAACTGAAAATCTGTAAACCAGTCTTAGCTGTTTTGTGTCCATGAAATAGTTGAGAGCAGTACCACGTCTGGGAGCAATTGCTGACTCAAAGCATACCCTTTACTGCTTTAGTAATGTTTGCCTGACATTTATACCATGTCCTTAATTTTTCATTTTACCGAGAATTTTGATCATCTTTTAAAAGGGAAACAGATTTCCACTTTGTCATTGAACAACTTGAATAAATTTTAATTTGGCTTTATCTTTTATAAAGTGTCGTTATAGACTGTATTTTTAATTCTTGGCTAAATATTATTTCAGATAAAAGTTTCCATTAGAAAATTCTGTCTGATTCTCTCAAATCAGGTTTTAACTTAAGAGTGTCCACAAATGTTTAGAACAGTTCATTGTCAAACTACAGCAACTTGCTCAGAACAGAAATTGCTGGTAATGAGCTCCTTTTGTTTTAGCTCTCATTGGCCTCCGTTGTTTACCCAGGGCTCAGAGTCATCGGGATGTGCACCGTGCCATGGAAATATAAGCTGTTGTTATTTTCCTATACTTAGGATGTCATATACTACTAGAAACTGAAATTGAACTATAAATGTAAAAGGGACCACTTTTGTGCTGACTAATCCAAACCTGCGTACTTAATGGTTTTATTTCTTTTGTGCTTGCTTTATAGAACTTATTGTTGTTTTGAAATCTGTTCATGGTGTGCTAATCTTGAAAATGCCAAAATCTGCACTTTAGTTTCCAGATTTGAAGCTAAATGTTATCATTAGTATATAGTTTATCAAATCATTTCAGTGATGATACAGCCCACCCTTTCCTTTCAATATATAAGAAACTCATTGACTGCACCCTGTTAAAGATTGATTGATGATCATTAATATATTCTGGTTTTATAGGAGATTATATGCTGAGTAAAGTTATACAAAAAGAAGACAAATTAATGTAAAAACTTACTTTTGAAGACCAACAAATTAAATTCCTGAGTAGTTTGCCATAGAGATAAATAAAAAGAAAAAAAAGAAAGATGGAACAATTAAAATGCAGCTAACAAATGCCTGGCCCCAGCTGTCCAAACAGGATTAATGGAGTGCATTAGGGTACAGTGAGTCATGTGGTGCTTTGCAAAATATCAACACGCATTGCACTACATGTTATGCCCAGTGGCACTGAATAGATGAAAAGAAATAAATACGTTAAACAGATTCATAGAGGCTTTTCACAGTATTAAAAAAGCAAATTTCTAGGCTAAAAGATAAAGCTTTATTTTAGTATTATGGGAAATGCAAACCAGAGAGTTACTTTGTAATTCCTCTATTAACCCTTTAGAATTGAGCCTTTGATTTTAAGAAGGTAAAATATAGAGAATTGTCATGAATATTACCCTAGTGTGTAGCAGGATTTTGATTTACTAGCTGAAAAGCTCGTAAGACTAGAATAGAGGATGTATTTAACAGGCAGATTCCAAGCTGCGACATTTTACACTCCTCCTCCTCACCTCTCACGAGGAAAGCCTGACCCTAGTGTGGTCCCATTTGCTCCTGTGAGCTCAGCCTGCAGCGTCCCATCACGTACAGTTCAACAGGAAATGCAGGAACAACAAAAATCACAATATACCTGCATGTGTGCAGTGTTTCTCTTACTTTAACAAGTTTTTAATGGAGACAATAATTGTAAGTTGAAGATATGTTGAGTCTGTAAAATAATTAATTTGGTGATAATTTGGCCTCAATAATGAAACTGTTCTGTAGCTCTTTTTCTTTCTAAAAATTTGCCAACTGCTATGGTTGATGTATTATGGGAATTATAAATCATAGCTTTAGGTTGAATTGCATCATGTGATATGACACAATTATTAGTGAATTTGTTTTAAGTAACTTGTTACATTTGTGGGAAATTTTATAACAGTTGAAAAAATCACCATTAAATAAATTTCATAAGCATATCACTTGTTACAAAGAATTATGTTTTAAAGAACATTTTGACCAATATAATTTAAATGATAGTTCTGTTGTCTGTAGGAAACACAGAGAATCTGTACTTAAAAATTTTTATTGGAACACTTTAAATGACCTTTAAAAATAAGGCCATGCCAGTACTCTGGGATATTGTTTTGCTGCCTATTTAGACTTCAATTTTGAAGAATTCAAATTTTGGGGGGATTTGATGTCCAGTTTTTAGCAAATTATTACTTAGTTTAATAGATTCTTGCGGTGATTAGAGGGGACAGTTTCAAGCAAGGTAAAAATAGAAAGAGATTTAATTATCTCTAAGTGTCCAAACTTATTTATATTTCTGATGTTGGATTGAACTGTGGAAGGAGAGATTTTGTTTGATTGCGAAGATATTACCCTTAATCCAGAAAACAGCTGAGAGCTTGGCTTTTTTGTATGTTATTCTTTATCTGAATCTTTAACCAAAGAGGGAAATTACTCTCAAATGCAAAGAATAGTCTTTGGCATACTTTTCTAAACTCTATTTTGAAATTATTTTTAGTTATTTGTTTGTCATGGAAGTTCTTTCTAAAACTTAATAGTTACGTAAGTCCCAAACGCAGGTTCAAAAAAAAAAAATGTACTCATGATAATAAAAAAAGTACTAACTCTTTGAAAGCAGCTTGAACTTATTTTCAGTGTTTCCATGTATTTCTCGTTTGGGTCCTATAAAGTCTGTCATCTTGCAGGAGATAAAGTGGATTATTCTCTTTTGTTCCTTGATGAAGGGACCTTGTTTAAAAACCAGTCTTTTTAGAGAAGTCTTTATTTGGGGTTTTGTAAATATACTACTAATCTTTACCCTGGGCTTTCCCTCTCCAATTTATCTTGTGAAATGGAAATAAATGATGCTTTCACAGATGCTCATATCGTATACTCTTAATTATGAAATTGAAGTGAAAGTAGCTTCAAATGCTATGTTGAAAATGCCTAAAGATTGTATATGACTTATTATATTCAGATAGATTACAGGAGATAATAAATGAGTAGTACTAATTGACTTTTGGTTGGTTATTACTGTTCTTATATCTGAACAATAAATTTATATTTGAATGCATGGATTTCAAAATTTTTGCACCAAAATGAGCTTATCTTTTTAATTCCATTTTTCCATGAAATTTTTGAAGTACTTATTTATATCCAGTTAGGATTTTAAGACTAAAGAATTCTCAAAAGTATTCTATGTCAAATTATAAAACAGTTAAGAGAGTAAGTAATGGTAACTCTCTAAAATCTCATTTTCCAGTATCAACTTGTCCTATTTTCCTGATGTTGCACTTATTTCAGAGCGCATAATCTTGAGAAAATGTCATGTTGGTCATGTATATATAAATTTAGCCATCTGTTGATATGCAAATAGTTTAAATTTAACTTGTTAAAAAATAAGTTTTATATGAAAATAATTTCAGTTAGGATCATTTAGCTGGAACAGTCTTAAGAAGTACTTTTTAAAACATTACAGTTAAAATGTTAAAATTAAAAAGTTGTAATTAGAGTACGGGTCTAGTTTGTGTAAGGAAAAAAAAAAAACCTCTAACCTTGCCAGGTACTCTAATAGTATACACGTACAGTCAGCTGAGAGATGAACACATTAACTCATTTGTAGGAAATTTGATTTTTAATTTTTATATGGATAAAAACGTGGATAAATTGTCCTTTCAAGAATATTAAAAATTAGAGATAAGCCTAAAACTGCTTTTTAATCCTCGTCCCCTCTTCAGAGTTTCCAGAAACCACTTTGGTTTATAACTTTTCAATCTTTTTCTTTGTGTGTGTATGTGTGTGCATGCGCACACAAATGCATGTATACTCTAGGAAAATGTAAAACTTTCCTAATTCTTTTGTTGGCGCTCTTGTTCCCTCTGTTGACTCTTCATGTGCTGGCCAGTGGAATTTAGAAGAAGAAAAGATTTGGGAATAATTTCTTCTATTAGAACTCAAGTTATCTGAAAATGGATTTTAGAACAAAATACTTTATTATCTTTTCCTGTGTATCACCAGAGACCTAGTCGTCTAATGCTGTGGGTTCTGTTTTTTTTTTTTTTTTACCTTAACTGCTTTGTGACATTTGCAATTTGTAATCTCCCTTCCCCCACCCCCTGTAAATGTCTTCTTTTTCCTATTTGGTTTCCCTTTTTTCTTTCTGCTCCTCCTCTCAGCAGTCCTTAGCTATCTCTTTACTGTACCTCCACACCCCATCGACTGATTTTTCTCCACCCTTACCTAAGAATAGACAAATCTAGTTCTGTTCTACATACAGGTGTCCCACCGCCATCCTATACGAAGCATCTCTGAAAGAACCTATTTTCATCTCTCTCTCCCCTGGTTCCCCCTTTCTCTCACCTGTTTCTCTTGTCTTTGGGGGGCTTCCATTCAGCAGGCCAAAGCAGAAACTTGAATTATGTTGGATGCTCCTACCTCTATCCCCACTTTGTGGCGCCCATACGACAGGGCATCTTGTTCATCTTTCTCACATTTTCCTTTGAACGAGGGAAAATATCAGACTATATAGCATCTAAAGCAGAAAGCTGGGAATACGATTTCGTTTTAATAATTCATTGTGAGAAGAGGTTCACAGTGAGTGAAGTGGGTCCATTTCTT